CATTAAAAAAACGCGCCATGGTTTGAATGATCCACTAGCATGCTTCCACGTCTGTTGTCTTCTTCGTTTTTCCTGCAAACATGAACAAGATAGCGGGGGTTTTAAACCCCCACAAACCAAAAGTCCCAATAATAGCGATTAGCAACACAGATCACATAAATTGAGCGCGAGGGTTTGGTTGAATTCGTCTGGCCTTGACGAATTCAACCATAGTCATGATGTGATCCAATTTTTCCTTATGCATAAAGCCCTGATTGAGAGCTTCAGAAACCCTAGATTTCGTTCATGGTGGATTTTGATTCAGAAGGCTATAACTCAATTGGATTATACCAATCGCTTCAGAAGGTCCCTATTAGCATAAATCAAACCAGAAATAGATTAAAAACGCATGAATCATGTTATGCAATTTTGGAAATATGTTCAAACCGTGGGACTCGTGTTCTTTGATTCTTCGCGTGTTAGGACTGGTTTTTGATGGCAATGGCTTCCTGGAGACTCAGGCAATATGTTTGAATCAGAAAGAAGCTTTGAATTGCGATGCAAATAGGAATTCAGTTTCACAATATTTCTTCAATTTTTGCCATTTTGTTATGTGGTTTCAGCAGCAATTGTACGTGTAGGGATTCAGGGTTTCCTTCAGCATATGTATGTGATGAGAATTAGGTTAAAACCTTGGCCCAAAAGTCCATGAATTCAAGTTTGCATATGTGATTGGCAATCAAATCTTTTTTCAATCTTTTCTTTCATGAAACCTTGCCAATCATGGATATTTTGAGGTCCTTGAGGTGCACACGAGTTGCCAGTTTGTCCTAGCCTTATTTTCTTCACAAAAAGATTTAAAAAGCATATCTTTTGAATTTTCCTACAATTAAAACCAATTAAATGAATTAATAATAATATAAATTCAATTAATTAATTAAAAATAAGAAAATAAATCAAATTAAGTTCAATGGGTCGTGCATAAGCCTTGGGTAAAGATTCAATAAGGAATTTGAGGCCCATTAGCAAAAATGAAGTGTTTTAGGCAAAGTTGACTTTTGAAAGTTCCCAAAAATTTCCCAACTTCTCCAATGCATATCTTGCTCAATTTTGAAGCTATGAACATGTTCTTGGACATTTTGTAAAGGTCTTGAAGTCCTCTAACCAATGCCTTTGGTCCCATGTCATTTTGATTTACCAATCTCAAGTTATGGTCTTTGACTTAAAGTGCCTTTTGTTGAGTTTTGAAAATGACCTATAATGTTGAAATTGATAACTTTTTGTGAGAGCATTTCTTGGACTTGGAATGTGAAGATGAGTTGTAGGAAATGTCATCCCCTTCAAAATGAGCATTGGATGGGATTTTTCTGATGAACCATGAAAAAGTTATGCCTTGGTCAATTTGCAGTTGACTTTTCAGCTGTCCTAAAATAGTAACTTTTGGCATCTTGAGACTTTTTGAGCCATGCTTGAGGAATCATGATCAAGAATTGATCAAATGATGATTGTGGCTTCAAAATAAGATGTTGACCAAAAATTTTGACTTTTGACTGTCAAATGACCATTTTGCCCCTGCAGTTGACTGTGAAGCAATTAGGGCTTTTGACTGTGCAACTTGGTGCTGTGAGTCTTGCAACTTGACATATAGATGCTTGACAATGTATATAGGCATATGGGACTTGATTGGACCCTTGAAAACCTCAGCTTCCTTGCAAGAACCAAAGCCCTAATTTTGACTGTGTTAGGAGGCAATTGGACTGTGCAACCCTTGAGAGATTTTGAACCATCTGGAGATTGATCTTGGCAAATCTTGAAGAATATGGGAGGGAAAATTTTGGGGTACAACACATGTGAATTATTGTGCCTCCATTTTATCTCTCATAACCATCAAGACCAAGGCACACATGCCCCTTTTTTCCCTAACCATCAGTATTCCTAATACGTTTATTATTCAAATTACTATACACTTTTATGTTACACACCTGAAGTGTTTTAAAAACTCTTTTGTCTTCTCTAAACTTCTCCGATTTCACCTTTTTATAACCCTAAGACTAACACACTAAAAATCTATCGTGTCTTTCTCTCTCCCTTATCTCTTTTACTTTTATGTTATTTTCTTTTCTTTGGTTTTCCACTTCTTATTTACTCGTTTGGTTTTAAATTTTTTCAAACTCTCTTTTTCCAAATGATTTTGTTTTCAACCAAAGTTATCAAACCTCCAGAATTCACCCCCTCTTGCGTATGGAATCACATGTTCAATATGTGACATCAGAGCCTAACTCATATTTAAATACTAATCATCTTAGAAGGAATATGGCTTCTAACTCTTTTTCTAGCAAGAGGATTTTCTTAAACACACCTCCACCGGTTAATAATTATAGGTTTGAATTGTGGAAATATAGAATTAGAATTTTCATTCAAAGTATTAATCTTGAATTTTAGGAAACAATAATCAATTATATGTTTATCTCTACTAACTAAGTTAATGGAGAAGTAGTAGGTAAATCTGATTTCCTTTGGACCGAAGAAGACAAGAGAAATTTTAATTTGATTTTAAGGCTAAATTTTTTTTGGTTATGTCATTATGTGAAAATAAATTTATTTATTTCCTAAAATATACTTCTCCCAAGCAAATGCGGGACACTCTTGAAGTGATATATGTAGTCTCTCCAAATATCGAATAAAAGAAGGAGTGAAACACGAGGTAAAGTAGTTGAATCACCAGATGAATGTGAATGTTATCTTCATAGATGATGTTAAAACATTTGAAATCTTGGAAACAATGTTAAAACCTTTATAGATAATAAATATTTAAGAGTTAAGTATTCCAATCAGAAACCTTAAATCGAGAGAGAAGAATGTTTATAGTTTTCAAGAAAAATCCAAGAAGGAAGAGATCATTGAGAATCTAGACTAGTTTCATTCAATTGTTGAAAGATTAAGGGATGATCTTAAATCTAGAATAATCTCTAGCAACTTCATCAAAGAACTCTTTCAAAGAAGAAGAATAAAAGTCAACTCATTCAGTTTCATTTGAAAGAACAATCTCGATTGAAGAATGATCCTTAAAAGATTTGTTATTTGACAATGGAGAAACTTCATAAAGATTATTTCCTCAATCAATGAAGAAGACGAAGAAGCTTCATCCAGTGGAATCTTCAAAATAAGAAATGAGGTATAAGTCTCAACAATTAATTTCTTTAGAGACTCAACATCGAGAAGAACTATTGAAGAATCAATCTCTGGTAGAATCTTCAAAGATCCTTAATCTGATGTAGAAGATGAACATATTTTATTGAAGGTCTCAGATGAAGAAGATAGTTGTGAGGGATGCCTTGTAACTTTAATGAACCCTTAATGTATTTTAAATGAAGTTGTGCAAAGCAAGGTGTATATCTTTGAGTCTACAAGTAAAAGCCATGCCTAATAGTGTTTGATGATCTTAATGCCCATGATCCAAGTATGCTCATTGATGGTATAACTCAACGGACATGATCAAGGTGTTTTTGTTGATGGTGTATTTCAATGGACATGATAAAAGTATTATTGTTAAGGATGCTTCTCAACATATATGATGACCTGTGATGATTATTTAAACTCTTAATATGTAAATATGATAATTATGTAATGGATTTATTAGTCTCATTGTTTAACTTAACTCTCATATCAAACAAGTGGCAGAGAAAAATTTATGACAATATTTTGATGTTTCCTTAAAAGGGGGGGTTTTCTCAAATATACTTGGGATTAAGGTGGTGCACTTTTTAGATTTAGAATAGTTAAAAAAAAAAACTCTAATTAACCAATTCTAGAAGTGATTTATTAATTTCTCAATCATTTAAAATTATTTTTACTAATTTTTTATTTGATTTTTAAGTATTTTTGGAGAAAGGGTGTACCAAAATGAAAAGGGAGGTGCCAAAAGCAGTATGTCATTGCTAAATCTCAACCTAAAGACCAAAAGACCAAGAAAGTTGAAATCAAGGCAAATAATCGATCATCCCATCGATTATATGCTTTATACGTTTCAAATTTCAAGTGAGATTAGAATGTACCTTCATCCTTAAGCAAATTAAATCAGAGCATTACCGAAGAATGCACGAAATCTTCAAAATTAACAATAAATACTCGATGATTCCCCTTTAATAATAAATTATCACATATGTTTTGGAAAGTTTTACTTCCAATCTTTTATGGGTCAAATCTTTAAGGATTTTGTGGAGCTTTTACACGCTAAAACATTCAGAAGTAACACTATAAATATGTACTTGATAACATGTAAAATACATCAATTAATTAGCTTGATTTACACATGTTTTAGAGTAAATTCATGCACTTATATGGTGTTATGTTGATTTTCTGCTGTATATTTCAAGTACTTATCATTTAAAGGTCTCTGCGCTGAAAAACGATAAAAATGGCGAAAATAAAAAAATATTCTAAGTTATTTGTTGTCATGATGGGCGTCATGCAGTCCTAGGGCCAAACTGTCAGCTAGAATTAAACAGAAACAAGGATTGCTAATCAACATGTCATGACAGACAGACCGCCAGCCCAGTTGACGTCCGCCATGGTCCCACGTTAAATGAGTCATGAAGGGCCGACCGCTTGTCTCGCTGATGCCCATCATGACATTGATGACCATTTTTCACTCCACGTTCCAGCAGAAACTATACATATAAGTTAATCATAACTAAGATCAAATTTTCATAACATAGGATGAGTAAAACGTAGAGTTTAGCGAATGATACTCCACTTTTAACGTCTTTGATTATCATTCAATTTACATAATTTATTGAATCGATTTCTCCGATGCCTGATTTAATAAAGCTCAAAAAATTCAAATTAACGAACACATTAAATAGATTGATAGATAAATAGTTTATAAAAATGATAAGAGGTTTTAATTTAAATTTAAAATAGTTATAATTAAAAGGCTAAATTGACACTTTGTCTAACTTGGAGAGTGACACTGATAATATGAAAAATTCAAATCACCAATTAACATAAAGACTAAATTGCTAATAATATGTTTCTGCAATTTTTTGAAGATATGCAGATAGCTCTTGAGGTTTAGAGAACATGGGCATGTGATCAGCATCAGGAATCACTTTGACATCATTCGTATGATTTCGTTCAGCCATTGACAATTGAAAATCATACTTTAACAACTTGTCTTGTTGGCACACAACACAGACTTTAGCAACAGTTCCGTAATTATCTTTTGTGACACATGTTTTCTCTTGCAATAGTTCTTGATCACCAAATGTACGAGTAGGCCTTCGTAATAACATTGCAAGAGACAAGTCCTGATTCATATATAATCAACATTATCAAAATACACTTTCGGTTTCAAAATCTACAAATAAATTTATCTAACGAGTGTCCATGAAAAGCCATCAAAGATTGATGGTTTTTTTTTTTTCAAGCTGGAGGTTTTGATACACCCTTAGATGGGTGTTGTATTGATTTTCACAAATAATATAATCTATATTCATTTAAATAAAAGATTATAAGAGTTTTTTGGGATCAACATAAGAATATTGATTAGAGAACATACCTCGGGTGGAGATAATTGATACATATTGGATGCTAAGAATTGTGGCTCATGTATTATGGATCCATTTGATTTATTATTTGAGCTATTGTCAAATATGATCTTTGATTCCAAGTTAAAATTCGATCTTTGAGGAAACTGCAGCTTTCAAAATAAATATATCATATCAAATCGAAGTAGTTTAAACTAAGAAATATGAGAAAACACAAAACAACAATAATTAAGTACCAGTACCTCCTTGCGGATAGTCACGAAGCCTAGATCAGGAGAAGGCACTATAGATGCAACAAATACAGCAACTGCAATTTTCTTTGGAAAAAGTTCCATAGCCATAGATATATCAATCCCACCAGAGCTATGACCAACAAGGATTACCCTCTCATCTTGTGGCAGTGACCTTAAAAATTCAATCAAGGGTTCATTATAATCTGTAATAGAATCAAGCTCATGCACTTGTTTTGGATGGATACCAGAAGCAGCCATGTCTAATGCTGTGACTTTATGTCCAGATGATTTCAGTAGAGCAACAACCTTATACCAACACCATGCTCCATGGCATGCTCCATGAACCAACACAAAATGCCTAGTATTATCCATTTTTCTTTCCTAGTACCTTGTTCTATATGGTGTTGATGTTTTTTAAGCTTAGTGCTAGTATTTATTTTCAAAAAATAGAGGTGTCTCAGATGTAAAATTCAAAATGATCGGTGCAACATAAAAGCCATTCAATCATTAGTGCATTGATCGGTGCAAGATAATGTATTGTGTTTTTTTAGTTTGTTTTTTATTTATTTTTTTAATTTCAAATTCAAGTTATTTATCTTTTTTCCTAGTATCTTGTACTCCGGTATTGTTATTTATGGGATATTTCCTTTTGTTGGAAGATAATTTCTTTCTCCATTCTTACACATTTTTAATGATTTTTGATGAAATTTTATTTTTATCTTTAGAATTCGGAGATGTGTCTTCGAACACATTATATTTTGTTTTTTGGGTGAATTTGGGAACTTGTGATGCTTCACTAAACATTTCCTGACTACCAACTTGTGCCTATTTTGGAGGAATTTTCTCAACTCCTGAGGATTCCTATTCTCAATCAACTACCCTTCAACGGTACAGAAAGAGATCCAAAGTCAGAAGAGATTGCTCAAGCCTTACACTTGCACTCCTCTGATGTCACAACACATTGGGAAACTAGAAGTGGTGTCAAAGGTTTCTTGTCAAAGTTTCTGTTTGAGAAGGCCCAAAGCTGTTGGAATTCTCTAGACTTGCAAGCTTTTGAGGAGATTGTAGCTCTTCTCATCTATGGGATAGTCTTGTTCCCTAATCCTGACCAACTTATAGATGTGAGTGCTGTCAAAATCTTCATGACTCGCAATCCTGTGCCTACATTGCTTAGGGATATACTCCACTCTTTTCACACTCGTACAATGAGGAAAAGAGGTGTTCTCATGTGTTGCACTCCTATACTGGCAAGATGGTTTATTTCTCATCTTCCCCAGTCAGTTTTGAAGAATGAGCAAGGTTTGAGGTGGTCACAGCGATTGATGACTCTTACCCATTCAGATATCCATTGGTGTTCTCGATCAAAAGAGAATGTCATCATCATTGACCGTTGTGGGGAATTCCCTAATGTCCCTCTACTTGGCATTAGGGGGGGCATCACCTACAACCCTTGCTTGGTTCTGAGACAGTTTGGGTATGCTCGAAGGGATGGCCCACATGACATGCTGATTTAAGGTTTGGTTTTCGACTTCGACAACGACAGCCAAGGACTCCGACAAAGGTTCATTCGAGCTTAGAGGATGCCTAACAAGGTAGACAGTAAGACCTTGGGACACAAGAATTCCATCCCTCTTGAGCCTTACCTCAAGTGGGTACGAACCCGCGCCCAAAGTCTTATGATGTCTTACCCCTACATTCTCCCAGTGATTATAGAGCCTGTTATGGAAGGAGAGGTTCCATACACCCTTCTACATCCTGACATACCAACATCACTCGAAGATCTACAAAGGAGTTGGATACAGCTCAAGGGAGAGCGCGATACTTTCGAAGCCCAATTCTACGCAAGCGAGAAAAAGGTTTTGGAACTCACTCGGCTACTTCACGAAGAGTAGACTCTCAACACCTACATTGCACCAAAGAGGATGCGCAACGTCTTTTTACCTTAAAATTTTGTATTATTTTGCCCATGGGACATTGATGTACTAACAAATTCTATCTTGTTAATATGACGTGTGTTTCTTTTTTTGTTTAAAATAAATTTGAATTTCTGAATCCTTGAAAGTATTACATGAATACATATCATTCATCATATGCATAAGCAGGTCTTCACACCAAGTTTCCTCATCTCTCTACTATTTATTTCAGCAATATGGATATTGAACAAACAGTCAAAGATTTGCAAGCTCAGAATTCACAATTTCAACAGCTACTCTTGACCCTAACCAAGGGGCAGGAGGAGCTCAAGACTCTGCTAGAGAAGGAAAAAGAGAAAAAGAAGAAGAAGAGAGCTGGTGTGGCTATCTTGAGCAGAAGGTTCGAAGGACAAGCCAGATGGACTTTGGAATTGCCATCAACATCTGAAGAGGGGGAAGGAAAAGGAAAGGAAACTGCAGTGCCATCTGATTCTGAGGCAGAAGAAGAAGAGGATGAAGACTACTCTGAACAATAGTACCCTCCGGCCGATGACAAATACAAGAACTTGGAAGAACGTCTAGCTGTTATGGAAGTGCAGAGAATACTGGGGTTGGACTTTGAGGAGTTAGGGCTGGTATCTGGAATTGTAATCTCTCCTAAATTTAAAGTGTCACTGTTCGCTAAATATGATGGGGTGTCTTTCCCAAAGATGCATCTACGATCTTATGTCAGGAAAATTCAACCACATTCTTCTGACAAAGATTTATGGGTCCACTTTTTCCAGGACAGTCTATCAGGGACGCAGCTGGATTGGTTTTACCAGTTGGAGAGGTCTGATGTGCATAATTGGGAAGATTTGGCATCTGCCTTCTATAAACAGTATCAATACAATGCTGACTTGGCGCCAACCCGTACTCAGCTACAGAGTATGGCTATGGCTACCAATGAGGGCTTCAAAGACTACGCCCATAAATGGAGGGATTTGGCCGGAAGGGTGCAACCACCTTTATCTGAAAGAGAGCTAGTGGACATGTTCTTGGGAACTCTGTCAGGTCCTTTCTTTAATCACCTGATTGGAAGCTCCTCTGCAGGTTTCACTGAGTTGATTCTAACTGGCGAAAGGGTGGAAGTCGGTATTAGAAGCGGGAAAATTCAGAAAGATGCATCTACCTCTGCTGCTGCAAAAAAGCCCTTCACTGGAAAGAATGAAGTGTCTGCTGTCTATGCCCAGAGGAATCAGGGAAGAACCGAAAGACGACCAACAGTGGGGGCCGTTATGATTCAGAAGTCTGCATCAGACCAACCGGGAAACAACCAGTCGAGAAATGATCAGCCGAGGAATAACCAACAAAGGGTGGAAAGGCCTATAAGGCAATTCACCAAGATAAACATGACTCCTGCTCAAGTCTTACCATATCTCTTGAAGTTGAACCTAGCCATGCTAAAGGAGGCCCCTAAAAATCCTAACACTACTTCTCCACACTACCATCCCAACGCCAGATGCGCATACCACTCAGAAAGTCCAGGGCATGACACCAACAACTGTTGGGCCTTGAAGAACAAGATTCAAGATTTGATTGATGCAAAAGAAGTTAAATTTGAAGCTCCCGAAAAGCCGAATGTTATCTCCGCACCGATGCCTAGGCATGGGCACAATGCCAATGTTGTGGAAGAAGATCTGTTTGTTTCTACTGTGGATGAACTGTCAACTCCTCTCCTAACCATCAAGTTGAATTTGTTGAAGGCTGGCGTCTTCCCAGGATGTAACCAAGATTGCCATGCTTGTCTGTCCTCCCTATTTGAATGTCCTCTATTGAAGAATGGAATCCAACAATTGATTGATAACAAGGAAATTTTGTTTGAGAAAGCTCCTGTTTCACCCATTCCAGTTCCAGAAGTTTCTATAATAACCATATACGGCAATTCTTCCAGGGTTCCTAAAAAACCCGTTAGGATTACATCTGCTCTTATGACTACTCCGTTGAAGATAACAATGCCTGGGCCAACCCCATACAAAACTGATAAAATGGTACCATGGAACTATGATGGAGAAATCTACTATCATGTTGTCAAACAGATTGAACAAACCATTGAAGAAGAAATCTCTGAGGAAGATAGTCCCGACGTCAGTAACATTACTGGAATAAGCAAAATTACTTGTAGTAGAAGAATCTTTTCTCCAATGATTGCTCCTCCAACAGCAGTCTTTGGACCCGCGCCCATCCCGAAGATTACACCTATACCAGTAACTGCACCTGCAAGTGTAGCCGCCAACAATGACAATGCAATTCCTATCCCTGCTTCCTCTGACAAAGGAAAGAAAGTTCAAGAGGAGCCTGTCCTGACGAGGGCTCATCCATTGATCATCCCTGAAACCTCTCAAAAAGAAATGGAGGAAATTTTGAAAATAATTAAGAAAAGCGATTATGATGTGGTGGAACAACTGGGGCAAACCCCCTCAAAGATATCCATGTTGGCCCTGTTGCTTTGTTCAGAAGCTCACGCTAAAGCTTTGGTCAAGTTTTTGAAGACGGCCCACGTGCCACAAGAAACCTCCGCTGATCAATTCCAGGAATGTGTGGCTAGTTTAACAGCTGACAATGGTCTAGGGTTCTTCGATGCAGATTTAACTTCGAAAGGGAGAAAACATAATGACGCTTTGCATGTCTCGATGGAATGCAGAGGGACAACCCTAGCACACATACTGGTAGACACTGGTTCGTTTTTAAATGTCTTGCCGAAGAAAGCCTTGGATAGGTTGGATTGTGAAGGCCTAACCCTGAAACCCAGCAACATCATTGTGAGAGCCTTTGATGGTTCTAAGAGGATGGTCCATGGAGAGGTGGACATCCCGATCAAGGTGGGTACCCAGACGTTCAATTCAACATTCTACGTGATGGACATCCGTCCTTCCTATTCTTGCCTGCTGGGAAGACCTTGGATCCACCATGCTGGAGCCGTCACTTTTACTCTGCATCAAAAACTCAAGTACCCTATCCAGGGGAAAATCATAACTGTTCACGGTGAAGAGGAATACATGATCAGTCATCTAAATTCTTTCCGTTATGTAGAATTGGATGGCGAATTCATAAAAACCACTTTCCAACACTTTGAGGAGGTTTCTCAGGAAATAGCGCCGACTAAAGCGGTGTCCTCAACTCCTGTGATCACAAGACCACCACCTCGAATGTCGTCTCTCAAGGATGCTAGGGCAGTTATGGAAGAAGGCGGATCCACAATCTGGGGGAAGCTTCCATATTTTCCTTTCAAAGCAGACAAATTCGGCTTGGGATTTACTTCGACTAGTCAGAAGGCCGTGCGCTGCTCCCGTGCCAGAGGGCCACCTGTGAAGATCAGCCACCGAGGAGTTAATGCACTAGAGGACAATGAAGAAGAGGGCAGACTGGAAGACTGGATTTTTCCTACCATTGATGGAGGAATGTGCAACTGGGAAGCAA